CTTTAACATTTAAGGTTAAACTTTAACATTTAGATTTAATGTTTAAATATATTTTTAGCATTTAAATTTAACATTTAGTAAAATATTAGCTGAATGTAAGAAAAGTGAGCCAAATAATGAAAAATATGAAATTTCTAACATTTCTTTTTACACCTAGCACTCCATATTTTTACTTGTTTTCTTAAAGGACTCCGGTTCTGTTGGGTTTATGTTTTAGTTTTTTTTTTCAGAATCTTTTTGATGGTTTGCAGGTTTTTGTGTGGAAAATCTGGAGCTGATTTGAGATTCTGCATCTAAAACTTTCAGAACCTTTTCCCTTATTGATTGTTTGTTTGTTTGTTTGTTTGTTTGTTTGTTTGTTTGTTTTGTTCTGAACTCAGACAGATTTCCGACCCGGTTCACTTGTTTCTGCTGCAGGTTAGTTTGCATGAAAAGAAGAAAACAAACATTAGTTTGGTTTTGATCCGAGCAGAAAAGGCAAACGTGTTTCAGGGTTCTGATCCGATCAGTTCCTGGTCGTTTAAAAACACGTCAGGTTCTGATCGGTGAAACTCGGGCTCTCAGCACTCGGCGCTGCTGGTAACGGACTCGCTGCAGACGGTCTGTGGGTCCTCGCCGGTCTCTGTGTGCTCCACTCCGTTTGACTCGATGCGGTCCTCTGACCCGATGCTGCAGAACAGAACCAGAACCATCAGTTCGGACTCTGCTGCTCCAGGTGATATTTTGCTGACAGACACGCCCACCTGCTGAAGCAGCCGTTGCTGCYGAGACCCTCGGCTGATTCCTTGTCCGGCAGAGAGCTGCAGGACCTCCTGTCCTGGTCCCAGCTCTTCCTCTGGACCACCATGGGCCCCGGTCCCGAGCCCCGCCTCTCCGGACCGAGCCTGGGCCCAGCCGGGTCCACGGAGACACCGGGTCCCTCTGAGTCTTTGCTGGAGTCGCTGCTGGCTCGTCTCCCGTCGATGCTGTCYGAGGACGATACGTGGCTCATCTGTCCATCCCGCTCATCTGGAGACAAAAAGACACGAGACCGGTTCTGAAAYGTCCCGTTTACGAGCTGCAGGAGAGGACACCAAGACCGGGACAATGTCCTCTCAGACACACAGAGGAGGTTGGACCCAGCAGCAGTGTCGACTCTGTGGAGCCACGCCCACTGCTGGACTCGGTCCAGTCGTGAAGCGTGAAGCGGTTCTGACCCGAGGAGGGAGGACCGCTCTGACCTCTGCAGCGCTGGGACACATGTTGGGATCGACTGACACGCTGCAGTCAGGACCTCCTGTGGTTCCTGAGCTGCAGACACGTGGACCCGTCCAAACTCTGGGTTTATTCTGAACATCTGTTTGCTTCTTTTTTACTCCACAGAACAGGATTCATGATTCATGATTCATGATTCATGATTCATGATTCATGCTGCGGTGTTAAACTAGAGGAAACAGGAGTCAGAATGTCTTTAAGCCGGAGCGATGAGCTCGTACCTCCTGAGCCCTTCTCTCCAGCCTTGTTGCGTCGGCGCCTCAGGATCAACTCCAGCTCGCTGTCCTTCTTCACCGCCGCGGGCGCCGGCGGCCCCGAGTCCTGGGAGCCTCGGCTGGGGCTCCTCTTCACCGTCTCCTGAAGAAGAAGACAGGAAGTTTACAAATCTTGATGGATCAGAGACTTTTATTCCAAGTCTGAAGATTTTAGCTTCACGACTGAAACTGAGAGGAAAGCAGCCGAAGAATAGCTGCTGAGAGAGAGAGCTGAAGCAGGTGGATGAAGAGTTTTGCACAGTGCTGTGGACCRTAACACACCCTAAAGCAGATTAAAGCCCGTTTTACCAGGATGCCTTTCAGCTCGTCCATGGCGCTCTCCTGCTGTTTGTCCTCACAGGGCGGGGGCTGCGGGACACAAAGACACAAATCAGGACTTTGATGATCAGTAAACGAGCTAAAGACTTTCAGCTGATTCAGAAATCTGCAGTTTTATTTGATGAGAAGAAGAATCAGACAGCAGGCAGTCATTTGAACTGATTAACACCCGGGTGGAGGGTCAGACGGCCCRGAGGGGGGCGGGGTGAGGGGTAAAATATCAATAAACTCACTTTTACTGCAGCTCTCTGCAGCACAAACAGGAGACAGAGAAAAGAGAAAACAATTTGTTTAAAAACAATGAGAAMAATTACAATAATCACACGTAAAGACCATTATTCACACAATAAACAACAACAAAAAAAATACCATCATTTTTATTTCTGATGTGTCTCTAACTGATGAGAACGGTCCAATATTTGTCCTCAAACCAGTTGTCTCATCCAAGGTTTACGTCCAGCACGTCTTTCGTGTTTAAAATTCTCACTTATTTTTACTCCAATAATTATATCCAGCAGAAATGTTTTAATAAATAATAATAATAATAAAAAGAATTAAATATTAACAGATGAATGAAGGACAGTTGATGTCCTCACCTTTGTGTCCTGACTTTTGACGGGACGCAGGACGACGCCGAGTTTGATCCGCTCCATCATCTCGTTCACCGCCTTCACCTTCACCTCGTCCACGCCTTCGGCTGCTGTGGGGTCAGAGACAGAGACACGAGGACACAAAGTCATTAGGACATGAGGTCATGAGGACAGGGGTTATAAGGCCATTAGGGTTATTGTGGTGGAGTGATTAGGAGAGTCGTCCTGTAACCGGAGGGCTGCCGGTTCAATCCCCATTCTAGCCATTTCAGTCACTGTGACCTTGGGAAAGACACTTCACCTGCCTTTCCTACTGATGGTGGTCTGGGGGGTCTGGTCGCACCACCTCTGTCAGTGTGCCCCATGGCAGCTGTGGCTACAATGTAGTTTACCACCATCAGTGTGAGGATGTGTGTGTGTGAAGTCTTAAGTTCTTTGGGGTCTAAGTGGGCTTGAAAAAGTACTATATACTGTATGTTCAGACTACTTACCGTGAGGATACAAGGTCCTGAGGCCATATGGTCATGAGGAAATGAAGTAAAACTGTTATGATGTCATGAGGGTACAAGGCTATGAAGTCATGAGGGCACAAGGTTATGAAGTCATGAGGGCACAAGGTTATGATGTCATGAGGGAACAAGGTTATGATGTAATGAGGGCACAAGGTTGTGATGTCATGAGGGCACAAGGTTATGACGTCATGAGGG